CGGCTCTTCTCCGCCCAGGATCTAGAAGCCAAGTCCGTTGTTGAGAGGGGGTAAAGCGAGGGATTGCAATCCAATTTGTTAGCAAGGTCAAGGCTTGGCTAGAAGAGAAGGAATAGGTATAGCACAATACGATTTTATTTCTATAGTAACAACACTATCATTCACGAGGATATACAATGGAAATGCCAGAGTGACGAAAGTGACCTTCAGCACTCTCCGCCGAGAACCGACAACATCAACAGACATTTCCAAAAACGTCCTGAAGTCTTTCTCAAAGAGGTCGGCGTGGTTGCTCCGCTGTTGTCTGATGTACGTCTTGATCTCGGCAAAGAGCTCCTCGATCGGGTTCATATCTGGTGAGTAGGGTGTGGGTTTAAGCCTAGCACATGTGTTACTTTCGATGCGGTGCTTCGCGTAGCATGATTTGTGGGTCTCCTCGGCGTAGTGGCCGTATCCTCCAGTGATTGCATCGCTTCATGGACTTTCCCACTCGGTTTCGGGGCGCGGCTCGGTCGTTTTGGGGAGGGTGGGCGGTCGGCCACCTCGACCACTGTCTCAGGTTGCGCCACCGCCGCCATCTCGCGGTCCCTTGGCAGGGCGGCTCAACTTCCTAAAAAGCCGATCTTGCGTTTAAATTAAGCAGACGAGTAGTCTTGACTTTCGCCGAATTCACTTCTACCAAGTGTTAAGTCGCCTCCTGATAGGTCCGGCATATGTCGCTGAGGCATCGATGCATATGCGGATGTGATCGGTGTGGAGGAGTCATCGCGCAACAACTGACCCAATTGGATGGTGGCCATACCACCAGCTGTACCAACATGTTTCGCTGAACCTGTGAAAGCAGGGAAATGGTAGATTATTCTTGAATAAGCGCCAGTCTGAAATAAGGGCTAGAAATTTACCGTAAGGATTCGTTTTAGTTATTGTCTGTCTAGTCGCTAGCGAAACCGCCTTCCTCTTTTTCACTCAAACGAAATCTGAGTGCACAGACATTTATGCATCTATCCGCTTACACCATACGTGCTCATTACTCTGTCCGATTCCCAAACTCAATACTTCCGCTTCCAGCAAGTGACTAGCATGAAGAAGAGGCCACAGCAGCAACCCCCAGCCAAAAAACGGCTCCCGTCCGCGCATAGGAAGCAGCTTGGTACGCTTCGCCAAATTAGACACAGTCATGAGGTTGATCGTATGGCTGTGCAGCCTGCCGGCAACGGCAAGAGAACATACGAGGGATGCTCGAAAATATGGGATCAGATAGCACTGTACGACAGACGACGCATAAGGACTATTGGAAAATCCCTTGAATATCATAATGCAAAAGATACTAGTACGCTCAAGCTGCTACCACCCAGAACCATTAATCATCTCCAAAGAGCCCGTTTTGCCATCCTGCTCCCGCCATTCTTCCAGAAAACAGAGAGTAGAGACCGTGTCCGGATGATCTCGGCCTAGTACTTGCTGCTGGTGATGAAAGCAGGTCTTTATCAAGTCTAGAGCGTCTCCAAGACGGGCCTGACTCTTCCAGGTATAAGCGAGGTTGGCCATGCTAGTGAGCGTCGAGGGATGCTCCTCTCCTAGCACCCTCGAACTCGTCTCCATCACTTGCACAAACAGCGACTCGGCCTCCTTCCATCGGCCTTG